GTGGATGGGTGCTGCAGGGTGCTGGGTGCTCAGGAAAGGGGCAGAGCTGGGCTGCAGCTCTCCTGAAGATGGGATGATGGATGGAGTGTCTGTCCCAATGGTGCAAAGTCGCAGCTGCCACACCAGAGCGTGAGCGGCTCCCCCACATCCCTCGTGGATATTGGGATATTTTGGGCAAAGCTCTGGGGGTCCTTCCTGCAGCATGGACAGGGGACAGCACCACCAGCTCCTGCTCTGCTGCTGCCTCTTTCCCCTGGGATTCAGCAAAGGAGGCTGAGATTAAACAGGGAGCAGCAGCAGCAGCAGCGAGAGGAGTCAGATCCCGCAGGAGCAGCTCCAGGTGTGCATCCCGTTTGTCCGACAGCATCCAGGCCAGCTCCTCTGCTGTCCCAGCACAGACTGACCCTTCCCACAGTCAGGAGGGGGAAGAGGCCCCTCCAAAGTGGGGGGAGGCAGCAGCAGAGCCCCAGGAGCTGGAGTGTGACGGGAATGTGATGCTGGAGCGATGTCCCAACCCAACAACATCCCAAATGGGGAAACAGCTGCCCCATAAACCCCCTCCTTACCCAAGGTCCAGCTCACAGCACACCCTCTCAGCTTCCCTCCAGGCTCCCCAATCCAGGCTGGACTTTGTGGGGGACCCCAAAGAGCTCACAACCATTCAGGGACCAGGTACCCCTCCAAGGATCTCCACATTCTCCCCTGCCCATCCCAGTGCTGCCTGGGAGGTTCCTGCTCCAGCTTCCCCAGAGAAACAGCTCCAGGAGCACAGAATCTTCCTGAGCTATCCCAGACCCCATATTTGCACTGTAAAAGCAGCAGGGCTTTTTCTTGAGGGTATTTTTTTTTTTTTTTGGTGTGTTGTTTTTTTTAAGACCAGGATCTCCTCCATTGCACTTAGCAGCCAGGAGTTCCGAGGGAGCAGAGCTCAGTGCTTTAGAACGACGCCTCATTTGCCAAGAAATAATCCCAAGGAGAAAAAAAACAACAAAACACCAACTCAAAAAACACCCAAAAAACTCAGACTCAGAAGATAATTAACTCCACAAAGCAGCGACCCTGAGTAGCTCAAATCTTCTCTGTAACTCCCCAGCCTCCTCTCCAAGGAATTATTTCTTCCTGTCTCCAACACAACGGCACCAACACCCGGAGGCCTGGGGATTTTATTGGGGTTGTGTTTGTCCCCCAAACCCTGCAGACAGACTTGCCCTCACCCAGGCAAGGTGGGGGGCCCAGCCCTACAGGAGGCCCCATATCTCTGAGCAGGGTTGCAATGGGATCACTCCCCATCCCTGTGGAGGATGGGAATAGGGACACTGAGGATGTGGAGCTGCACTATTGAGGGGATGGAGGGAGGGGAAATGGGTGCAGCTGCCCCCAGCACCCACCAGCAGGGAAGGAGCCACTTTTCAGGTTCGTCCCTGCAGAGAAACAGCAGGAAAAAGCAGGACAGGCACCCTGGGGGATGCATTTTACGCCCCCCCCAAATCCTTCTCTTGTCTTTAAGTCTGGCAGAAGGGATGCTCCACCAGAAGCTGGCCCGAGTGACCCTGGCACCATCACCCCCCTGGCACCATCACCCCCTGCCCCTTGCTGCCCCTCGCCAGGGAGGGGAATTGAAGAGAGAAGAGCTGAGAAAAAGCAGTGCAGAGCCAGCCCTTCCTGCTGCTGCTCCCCCCGGCATCCCCCTTCCCCTCCTGACCGCAAAAAGCCAACATCTCCCCGCGCCCCTCCAGCCAGGGGATGGGAATGTGGAAGCAATTGCACTTGGCAAGGCAGCAACAGTGAGTCAAAAACAGTTGTTTGGCTTGTCAGCCACCCAGGCCCTGCAGCACTCTTGTTTTCCTTTGCCTGCCTTAACCCCTTCCAGCCCCACACGCTGTTCCCAGCAGGACCCACAGCCCCCAGCCCCTCTGTGGACAGGAGAGGGGAGCTGGGGGGAAGTTTCATGGCATAGCCCAGCTGTCCTGCTCCCAGAAATGGGAGAATGGGCAATTCTCTGGCAGGAAACCTGCAGGGAGAGGGTGCACTGAACCTGCTGTGGGGCACAGAGATATCCCAAGGCCATCAAGGGCTCTGGAGCATCCCACCCACTCGACCCAGGAGGTGCAGAGAGCTCCTTGTCCCTGCCACAGAGAACATCCCAGGTGACCCTTGGCAGGCTGAAGGGACGTGGCCACGTGTGCTGGGGACCCTGTGCCACTCCAGGGTGGTCAGACCCCCCGGACACTGCCAGCCTGGTGGCACTGGGTGATTTAAAACCCTGAGCACAGCAGGCCCCATCCCATTTACAGCAGTTTAGCACATCCCAGGCTGCTTCCCACCGGCTCCTCCAGCCCCTTCCCTGCTGGCCATATGGCAGGAACACATCCAGAGCCACCAGGGGCTGCAGCAGAGGCTCTGCTCCATGCCCAGGTCACCCCTCACATCCCAAGTTGGGGGTCCCACACTGCTGGGACCCCAGCTCATTCAAGTTGCCACCAATTCGGGGCAGGGTAGGGGGACACCAGGACCCATCCACCCCCTCCCCACCGTGGAGACACAGCCATGGGGAATAGGGTATGGGTCAGGGTATCCCTCTGGGCATCCAGCCAGACCCCACAGCTCTCCATTTTCCCCAGATTGCTCCCAGAGAAGACAGACACGAGGAGAGAGGCCAGGGGTGCAGGTTCTCCCTTTCCCCACTGGGCACAACCCCCACTGCACCCCTCCAGCAGGAGGCAACCAGGGCGAGGGGATGGCTGGGGAAGAGTTAAACCCTCTGGAAGGAAAAGTGGAGGGCAAGGCTGCGCCCGCCGGGAGAGACAAAGCGAGATGCAGGAGCCAAGAGATGAAGGCGAGGATGCGATAAGAGGGGGAGCGGGTGTGTGCGCTGGAGCGAGGGAAGGGGAGGAGGAGGAGGAGAGGTGGGTGATGACCAAAGTCATTGAACATTTTTTGGCACGCCTACCCCCGAGTATCCTGGCCGTTGGCCCAGCTCGGAGCTGAACTTAAACAAACTCCTGTTGCAGCCATCTGCTTGATTTTAAAATAAATCAAACAATCTGTTGAGCCGTGGGTGATCAAATTTCCATCTGTGCGGACGCCTGCTCGCCTCCTCGGAGCCTCCGCTTGCCTCTACCAGCCAAACACTCCTGGCAGCATGTGGCCTCCCTAATTCCTCCAGGAAAGGGAGAAACCGGACCTCCCCCTGCACCCCGGCCCCCTCCCGGCCCTTCCCCGCCACCCTCCTAACTCAAACCAAGTTTTGCTATTTTTACAGCCGCCCACCAAACAGAGACACGTCCCGGGTTTAAACAGGAGGAAAACGGGGCTGGAGGGAAGATCCCAAGAGGGATTGAGCTGCTCTGTTGCTGCCCACGCTGGGGGGATTCCTCATCCTGTCTCCATCCATCCCACGGGTGTGAGGGAACGGGAAGGGAAAGGGCAGCAGCTGCTGGCCCCGGCGGTGGTGACTGCGGTGCAGAGGCCAAGGGCTGGCCAGAAATAGCAGCTGTGAGGCCAGTGCTGTGTGGCTGTCCCCAGGATGAGGACACCAGGCACACGTCACCTCCAGGTGCCCGAGGGTGCCAAGCTCACAGCCAGCCTGCCCAGCCACCCTCCCCCCCAGGCAGCCTGCTGGACCTCAAGTCCACCCAAAATCATCTCATCCTGAGGGTTCCTCCCTCCTCCGGGAGCAGAAGTGGGGCAGCACCACTTGCATTTTGTCCCAAGGTCCCCAAAGTGTGAAAAGAGAGGTGGCATCTCCCTCCTCCACTGTTTCTTCGTGTCCCTGCTCGCCTGGGGGAACAGCACCCATGATATTCATGTCCCCAAAGCCCCTCTGAGGGGTCAGTCCCTTGCCCAAGCCAAGGACAAACCCCTGCTGGCACCACCCCGACTTTGCCATCCTTCCCCTGAGCCCTTCCTTCCTCTCCAAGCAGAGGGCACCGGGCACAGAGCCAGCACAGCCAGAACTAGGGCAGCAAGGGGTGGGGAAAAACACAGCAAAAGGACTAAAAGATGAGCAAAGAGGGAGGAAATGGTTGTGAATGAAGGAGAAGGAGCAGGGATGGATAAAGGATGGAGCCCAATTCGGGCTCACTGGACCCCAGCAGCTCCATTGGGGAAGGTCAGGGTGAGAGCACAGACTGTGCATGGATAAGGGAGGAAGGACACCACAGCAGGATTTATTCCTCCTCCAGGGCTTCAGTTATTGGGGTGACACTTCCTGAGGGTCCCCATGGCCTGGGGTGGAAGCAGCAGCATGGAAAAGGAGGTGCCCAGCACCCACCAGAGCCCTGCCAGGAGGCCGAGCCAGCGGCTGTGGAACAAACCTCACCCGTGTGGGACTTTGCCAAGCCAAGAGCTGTCCTGGCCAGCCCAGGGCCAGCCTGGCCAAGCCACTCACTGCTGGAAAGAACAGGGAGCAGGGTGGCCCCCACCCTGCTGCAGCCTCAAATGCTTCCCAGTGCCAGCTTTTGGGAGGGGTTGTCCAGCCCCAAGCACACAGCAAACAGCACCCAGGCTCCAGGATGCAGGATCAGCAAGATCAGCGTGAGAACGGGAAGATCAGCGGGGAGGGAAAAAAAAATTGGAATGAGTGATACAGTAGCTTGGGTGATCCCAGTGGCACAAGGGAACAGCCCCACAGGAAAATCTGCTCCTGGGGATCCACATCCCTGAGCTCAGGCGGTGGCTGAGATGGGGAAGTTCCTCCAAATGCTCCTTATGGAGTAAAATCCAAGCAGAGCCCTGACAGGATGCACAGCAGGGAGCAGGTTACACAGAACAAGCAATAGCGGGAAGGGGAGGAAAAAAAAAAAAAAACCAACAAAAAACACCAAACCCCATTTTGGAAAAGGAAAGAGCTGACAGGACCTGGCTGAGAAGCAGGAGAAAGCCCAGATTTCCCAGTTACTGTGCAGATGTTCTGGACTGAAAACAGAAGACGGCAGGAGCGAATTCATCTCCCCCTCCAGAGACGCTGCAGCCGGAGCATCTGGACTGTGTCTGCAGGCAGCAGAGCTGGCTCCCCCCGTTCCCTGGGAGCCCCCAGCCCCGGGGTGCCCACCCAAACCACGAGCAGTGACAACCCAGCCCTGTCCCCACACCACGTTGGCCTTGGCACTGCTGCCTCCAGGGAAAACGGAAAGGCCTTTGCAGTGTTTTCACTCCGGGATAACTCCTGCTGCCTGCTCTGAGAGCTGAGGGAGAGATGGGGAGAGGAGAATGAGGCTGCTCTAGCAGTGAGGACAAGGAGGGGGGCAGGAGACATCCATCCATGTATATATATCTATATAAATATACACTTATTCCTGGCCAAAATAATAACTGGAATCATCAGCGCTTGGTCATCACTCAGTGTAAATCTTCACGGCCGACTGAAGCCAGCCCCTTTCCACAAACATGCTGGAAGCAGCTGGAAGATGATGGTGGCAATTTGCTGTGTGCCCCACATCCTCAGCTGTCTGTGTGTCCGTCCCTCCCAAGTCTGTCTGTCCCACCATGGCTGCAAAACAGAGAGAGAGAGAGCCCAACATCCTGGCTATCACCAAAATGTTCCCAGCTCCAAGTGTGGCGTCCCCAGGGACAGAGGTGGCTGCTGGTGGCCCCTCAGATCCATCAGATGACACACTCCCCGTTTCCAAGGAGGGGCAAAGCAGGGGAGGACAATTAAAACCATTTTGGAGGGTCAGGGAAAACTCCCCCGACATGGAGTTGTGGCAGAGCCTGGGCTGTGCCATGGGATGAACGTCCTGCAGGGATTGGCACCCACAACAGGAATCCCCAGCCCCAAAATAGCAGGTGCTGGGGACACACTGGGTGACAGCATGCCAGGACACAGCCTCCAGGGGGTCACAGAGGGGCTGCAAGCCTGGGAGCAGTCCAGACCTGCCCTTTGGCAAGGGAAGGCAGCTGTCCATCCCAAACCAAGGGGGGATGCCCCTGGCTGCTCACTCCATCACCCCTCTCCCATCAGGACCTTCCCTCCCATCTCAGCTGAGTCTCAGCCTTTTTTCAGCTCAAAAGTGGAAAACAATAAAAATTCACTGGGACAAAGCAAAGCAGACCCTGCAAGCCTTCCTCTTCACATCCTTCACTGGGGTTGCCAGGACCTTCCTCATGCATTCCTGGTCAAAACCAGCCCCAAAACCCAGCTGCTCACCCCTGCCAAGACCTGGCTCTGCCAGGATAGCAGGGCAGGCAATGCTGTGGCCAGCAGGAAGAGGCAGCACCGGGGCAGACGGTGATTTCCTGAGTTTGTGTGCCAGGGGCTATGGAACAACCCTCGGTAAATCCTGCAGCAGGTCCCTGTGCCACTGGCAATGGCCCATCCAGCACCAGTGCCACCAAAACACAAAGTCTTGGATGGAGGGAGCTCCTATACCTGCACCACTACAGCAGGGACACCCCAGCTCCATTCTGGGATGGGATGGGGTATGAGGCAGCCCAGGGCAGCCACAGGGCTCGCTCTGCCCAGTGCAGGACACAGACACAGCATACTCGGCACAGGTACCTCTCTGGCAGGTTGGAGAGGGAAAGCCGGGGCAGCTGCTGCTCCAAGCACGTCAGCTCCATGGGTAAACAGATTACTTCAGTCTCCTGAGAGCTACTAAAGCCCAGCAGCACTTGTGCTAACGTGGAAGGAGGGAGGAAAAGAAGGAAACTAAAGAGGGAGAAGCAGCGTCATAGCCACGCCAGCCTGCAAAGCGCACCCAGGTAACATCACCCTTCTCCCAGCCCAGCCAAAAATCCACCCTGGAGCCATCCCCTTCATCTCTGCCTTGCTACCGAAGATCCAGCATGCAAAAGGAGTCACACAGCAGCCAGAGCAGCTGCACGAGGCTGTTTATCCAGCCACAGTACAGCTTGGCTTGTGTGTGCTGAGGAGAGGCTGTGGCAGCTGCTCACCCAGCACCGGCAGCAAACCACGACCTGCCCGCAGCAGCCTGGGCTGGCAGCGGGGCTCTGCACCCTCCACACGGCCCAGGGAGGGGAACCAGGCTGGGATGGCTGGGAGTAATGCCCTTGGCACAGGAGCAGCCCTGCGGTCCCCAAAGTGTGGCTGGCACCGGTGCAGCAAGGAGCCAAGGCACGCCCGAGGTGCCGCTGGCACCCGGTGGGGGACCCGGGGCTGTCACAGCCCTGGGACAGGGCCCGGGGGAATCGTGCTGCTGGAAAGGCTCCTGCTGCCAGCTGCTCCCAGCGGAAGAGAGCCTGGCATGGCTGGGAGGCTGCCACCACCTCCTGCCCCAGCTCCCAGGGATGCTCCTGCCTCACCGTCCCCCTCTTGGGGGTCCCCATCCTGGGGCAGTGTGACACACCAGAGGGACATTTCTATGCTATCCCTTCCAGGCCAGGATGGCATCATGTGGCCTTTTGCTGCAGGGAGGAACATCTGGCCAGATGCTGCCCAGAAGCACAGGACTGTCTCCCAAAAAAGGAGCCAAAGGTGCAGCCAAGGAGCAAAGAGAGCCCTCCCCATCCCCAAAAAATAGCATTGGAATGGATCCAGGGCACCTACTGCAGCCAGAGAGGTGTAAACAGGCTCCTGGCAAACCAGCCGTGTCCTGTGCCCCCAAAACATCGTGGGTCCCCCAAACCTGCTCAGGAGATGGAGCTCCTTGCCAGTCAAGGACGGTTTCAGGGCTGTCAGGACAGGAACCAGCTGGTATCTTGTGGGGTTGAAAAGCCAACTCCTGCCATTCCTGATGGGCTTGGAAAACCAGGCACCCACGCTGCTGTGCAGGGAAGTCCCTCCTCGCTGGGAAGCAGCCAAGGAGCATCCCAGGCTGCCCCCTCTGCGACGGAGCTTCCCGGATGGCTGAGGAAGGCCAAGTGTCTGGACAAAACATCTGTTCAGCCACAGCAGCCAGACTGTCCAGCCGTCCCTTTACCCCATCTCCCGACTTGGCTGTGACTCCAGAGGATGCTCCAGTGGTTGCAAAAGCGTTTTCACTGCATGGGGTGAGAGTGGAGCTGGTCCCTCTCCCCAGGGTGCCCACCGGGGGTATTTTGGGGGGTGCAGCACAGTGTCAGACCAGCATTTTTGGCAGGTGCCTGCTCGAGCTGCCAGTCCTGCAGTGCTGCTGCTTTTGGGAAAGGCAGAGAGAAAGCAAAGAGCAGGGAGGTGAAAAATAAATATATAGCAGCCAGCTGGTGAGCTGTGGAGTCAGCACGAGGTCTGCAGGACGCGGCGCTGGCAGCGGCGCGGGAGCCCTGGAATTTTGGACAGCTGGTCCAGCAAGGTCAGCCCGGCCAGAGCAAAGACCCCTGTGCTGTTCCCCACAGCGTGGCTGAAGGACAAACATCCCCAGCTGGAAACCCCATGGGGACAAGCCACCACGCCGGGAGGTGACTCTGACCCAGGCTAAGTGGCTGGTGAGGATGAGGAGGGACAGTCAAGTGCCAGTTCCCGCACAGCAAAGCAGCCCTGAACTCGGTGGCAGGAGAAAGCCTGGGGCACATTTTCCCCGTGTTGTTTCTTTGTTTGCCATCTGGGAACACGATCCCGAGGGAGGCTGTGCCCCGAGACATGAAGTCATATCATGATTATATTGCCACCTCCATGCTGGGATTGAGATCTCATCCGAAAATGCCAGCCCGGGTCGGTGCTGGCTGCAGCAGCTGCTTTGCTGACAGGCAGTGTAGGCTCCACTAAAAACAACTTCACATGCTGCAAACGGAACAGGTTTATCCCAATGAAGTTGGCTTAAGTTGGCCCGATTCTGCCCTGAATCTGCTGGAATTCGTGATGGCAAAAATTGCCACAAGAATAGGTATAAACACCAAAACCAACCCGAGCTGGAAGCCAAAAGATTGAGGTGAGTAAGGGCAGCTCTGCTCGTTATTTAAGGGATGAGGAGAAGCCAAATTCAGCCTGTGCACACCCCTGGAGCCCACACATGATGCCTGGGATGGGGACACAGAGGTGCCATCAGCTTGGCCAAAAAAGCACCACCACCCAGAACACTGCCAGTGGCCAGAAGGTTTTTGATTTCCTTCAAAATCTATGGACGATGCAAAGAAGGCAGAGGTGCCTAGGGTTCTTCCTGCACAGGTCTCTTAATCCTCATGCTGCAGTGCACCCAAATATCCCATAATCTGGCCTGGTGCAATGCAGGAGGAGGGCTCAGGCATCACTCCCCGCCTTCTGGGTTTGCTTTTCTGGCAATCCAGGAGCTTTGGCTGCCTCTCAGCATCAGTGGGACAAGGTTTAGTGGAGAACACAAGAACTCTTTGATTTTTACCCAAAACCCTTTTTGAAAGCCAAAAGGAAAGTGCCCACCAACAGCTGTCAGCTCGACGCAGTGATTTGGAAATGCAGCCATGACCTTTGGAGCTGGGAACCTGCAGAAGGGGCCAAATCTCCAGCTGAGCCAACAGCACTGCTGGCAATTAGTAAATACAGTGAACTCAGCCCCTGGGGCCTGGCTGTGCCCTGTCAGGCACAGCCCCACACAACCAGCCCCAGGTGTGCTCTGAAAAGTGGGAATGGGGCATGGAAAACACCACGTGATTCCCAGGAAGCACCCGAGGACAAGGCTGGGAGAGGCAGTGAAATCCAGCTGCTCCCGAGGAGCACCATGCCAACACCTCCACAGCACCACCAAAGGAAACTGAACACAGAGCCACAGATTTGTTTAGGTTGGAAAATCCCTCCAAGATCATCGAGTCCAACCGTTCCACCAGCACTGCCAAGGCCACCAGTGACCATGTCCCCAAGTGCCACACCTTTTAAATCCCTCAAGGAATGGTGGCTCCGTGACTGCCATGGGCAGCTGTGACAGAGTTTGATTAACTTTTCGGTGGAGAAATTTTCCTTAAAATCCAACCCGAGCCTCCCCTGGCCCAGCCTGAGGCTGTTCCCTCTGCTCCTGTCCCTGTTCCCTGGGAGCAGAGCCCGATCTGGGGCTGTCCCCTCCTGTCGGGGAGTTGTGCAGAGCCAGAAATTCCCCCTGAGCCTCCTTTCCTCCAGGCTGAGCCCCTTTCCCAGCTCCCTCAGCCTCTCCTGGTGCCCCAGCCTCTTCCCCAGCTCTGCTGAGCCGTGGTGACACCACTGGTGACCAGCCACCACCTGGGTATGTCCCCATTCACCGTCTCTCTCCAGAATCCAGTCTGTCTTTTACCCAAGGAACAACAACTCATCCAAACCATGAGCAGCCAGTTTCTCCAGGGAAATTCTGTGGGAAGCACTGCCAAAACCTTTACTAAAGTCCACACAGACATCCAGAACCTTCCCCCACCCAGTGAGTGGGTCACCTTGTCACAGGACATCAGGTGACAAGGACCTGCCACTCATGAACTCATGGGCTGGGCTTCATCACTTGGTTGTCCTGAACAGCTGTGCTCGAGTTATGGTAGGATTTGAGAGCTTTCCAGGCACCTGGAAGTATTTCCAAGAAGTTATATTTAAGGGGAGAAAAAACAGAAAACCTCAAGAGGAGTCACTTTTACAGGTACATAAGTGCAGAGAGAGCAGTGGAAGGTGAAGATGGGAAGAGCTGGAAGACAGGAGAAGTTTTCCTTGTGAAAACAGGACACTGAGAATGCCAGACAGGCAGTCCTTGAGCTGGGAATGCATCATTTCACCCCTGTGGAGAGAGCTGGAGAGCTTGGAGGTGACTTGAGAAGGCACAGCCAGCCAGGAACAGGTCACTGTCACCTCTGGGAAGCGACCAAATCTGGGCATTTTGTGGTTTATTCAAAGCCACTGCTCCCAACAGCAGCTGCTCGAGGAACCAGCTCCTCCTGGGAGGGATGCACATCCCAGTGGGATGCACAGGCCAGCAGGATGAGAGATCCCACGTGATACCCCAAACTCACCAAAAAGTGCATTGATCTACACAGAGAAAATCCATTTTCACAGTGCACATCTGGGGACCAAGGGTGACAAGCCAAAGGCTGCCCAAGCCAGATGCCCTTTCTACACCCAGCACTGCCATGTTTTCTTGGAGGGGAGAACCCAAACCCACCCCACACATATCAACCACAGAAGGGTTCTGCAGAGCTCACCTCCAGGAGATCCTCCTGTAGCAGGGAGAGCTTCAGGCACCACCACACCTCCACAGAGCACCACTTGTTCCACTGCTCCCCACCACCAAACCAGCAGCAGAGGCACCACCCATCCAAAAATATCAGTGGCTCCTCCCTCCTGACAAGCCTCAGATGTGAGGGTCCCTCATCAGCACCTCCACACTGCCACAGAGATGACCTTAGCCCCATCCTGCTCTTGCTGCCCTGCTAAAAGAGGGAGATGTGGGGGTGTCTGGTGGCTTTTGGGGTATTGACCTCAAGCTTTGAGCCATTTGTCTAAACTGTGCACAGGCAGGACAGCAGCAAACCACAGCTGTGTGCAGAGGGTGTGAAAAAGCAAGTGCAGCCCAAAAATGAAGTTGCAGAGCTGAAAGAGAACTGGGGAAATGATTTTAACTGCTCAGGCTCATTCCCTCCAGCCTGGTCCCATTGGAACGGGGACCTGGGTGTCACACAAGAGTGAAAGGCTCATCTGGGGTGACTTTCAGCAGCAAGCGTGGCTGAACAAGGGTACAGCTAAATTAACCAAGTGCCCTACCCAAGCACTAAGCCGTGTTTTAAATAACCTTGACATCTGTGAGGTCTCAGCCTGCTGGAAAGCATGTGGAGACAGGGAGGGAAAAAGTGCCAGGACCTTCTGGCCAGCCAGAGTCTCCACCAGGACACGGCAGAGCCCAGCCACGATGTCCCCAGGCAGCTCTGCTGTGCCTCCTTCCACTCAGCCCCTTGCAGCAGCCCCTTAATTTGCTCATTAGCAAACCCAGGAACAAGAGGAGGAACTCAATAGTGTCCCTTCTGTGTCCTCGAGGGACTTGGGGATTGGGGCCAGTGGGAACGAGGGCTGGCGTGCCTGAAAAACGCTGGGATGTGGGGGGGTCACTAAGGAATCCCACGGGATTCCCAGAGCACCCATCCATGCTGGAAGAGAATTGCTGTCCATAATGTCCCCATGAGGTGGCCTGGGGACACCAAGAGGCCTGAAAAACCAGCTGGGGACATGCAGATGATGCCCCTGTCACCAGCTGCAGCCACTTGGGCTCTGCTGGGGCACTCCAGCATCACCCCTGGATCAGCACCAGGGGTGGCTCACTTGACTCCCGAGTCCCCCATGGCCACCAGCACCTTGCAAATGCCACCAGACCTGTGACCACATGGGCATCACAACCCACCCAGCAACCACGAAAATAAACGACTTCCATCCACAAATTACCCAAAATTATGTCAAGACCATCCAGCTCAGGCTGACAGACATTGGGGAAACCCCCCAAAAGCAACAACTTCCAGAGGGTTCTGGTGCCAACCCAACCCAACCCCCTGTGCCATCCTGGCACCCTCCAGGTGAATGCAGCTCCTGCCTGGTGGCTTTCCAAGCAGTGTCCCCCCCAGCTCAGGAGCCAGCACAGCTGAATGGGAAATCATATTTGTAAGCAGCCAAGGGAAAGCAACGGGAGAGAAAAGGAGCGCTGTCTTGGAAGGACTGGTTTACATTTCTAAAGAAAATGCCAGTGCCTCAGAGAGCTGCAGGGTTCTGGCTATGGATGGAACTGAAAGTCTTTGAAAATGACCTCGGGGATTTGGGATGTTGGCATTTGACAGAGCTCAGCCTGGGGCCTGGTTTGGTGATACAGAGCACTGGCTCTGGAGAGCTCCCACAAGCTGGAAATTTGGGGGTAAAAGCTGTTATTTCCTCATCCCACGAGAAAGACAAGCTTGGGAGGAATAAACTTTTGCTCTGCTATGTGCTTTTGAGGTGATGCCCCCAAAGCAACCTGTGTAACCCCAGGGGGAGCCACAGAAAGGAGCAACTGGGGAATCTGGCAGCACCTGGATGATGACATCCGTGACATCCTTCAGGGTTGCAGGGCTTTTGGGGAGCCCCCACTGCAGGATAACAAGAGCAGCATGGGTGGGAGGCACCCAGCTCTGCGCTCACCCCACCAGCTGTGGGAAGAACTGGGGCTTCTCCAAGGGAAATCCCTTCATTAAGGCACATTGTAAAAATGGGAATAAGTTGGGAAGTTTCCTACAGAGCCCATGAGCTCCTTCCAGATTCCCAAGGATGCTCCCATGGAGGGCAGGCCAGGCAGCCCTCTGGCACCTCTGAGAACCCTTGATGGCAAGCTGGACAGGATTGGGATTTCCTCTGTCCTGGCTCCCACCTCCCTCATGCGAAGCTGCCAACAGCACAGACACTTCTGGAACAGGACAGGTCTTGGCTCTTCCCACCTCCTGGAAGGATTTTTATCTGTTCCTTCGCAGCTTGACAGCTCAAAAAGTTCATTGCTAAAGGCACCCCATCCATTAGCACTTGCCCCCAGGAACCAGACCCAAAAGAAGAGCATCCATCTACATCGCTGCTCCAACTCCTCCTGGATTCCAGAGCTGGGAAGCGCTGGGGAAGGAGGGATGGGGTCTGGACCAGCTGCCTTACCTTGGGGAGGAGAGACGGGGGTGCCACTGCCAGCAGCTCTGGCGGGGTCATGCTCTTGCCAGCCAGGACCACGGCCCCGCACTCGGCACAGGCGCCGATGGTCAGCTGCTTGCCATCGTCCACCAGCAGGCTGTTGGCCACGCGCAGGGTGTAGAGGAAGACGGGAAGTCTGGCCACTTGAACCGCTCTTAATCCAAGGCATCGCTTCTTCTCCTGCCGGCAGAAGAAGCAGACGAAGGTCTCCACTTTGTACTGCCGGGACCAGGCGCTGCTGGGGTGGTGGGAGTTCCTGCCCTCGTGCTGCAGCCACTGTCCCAGCAGGTCGTGGTAGCACAGGATGCAGGTGGCCACCAGCCCGGTGGAGTCGGCCGGTCTGGCCCGCGGGGCGGGAGGGTAGACCGTCAAGAAGGGGAAAAAGGGCTCCTTCTCCCCAAATCGCCCTGGAGGGTTGACGTTGAGCTGGAACTCTTTGCCAGCACCCAGCTCGGCCCCGCAGATGTAGCAGACAGAGGTGGGACCAGGCTTGATGACAGCGGGGTGGCCGGAGAGGTCACCAGCGGAGAAGACCTGGTGGTACCTCCCCAGGAAACTCTGCACGGAGGAGATGAGCTCCTCGTTGTGACAGGCCCTGTACATGGCCCACAGGTCCTGCAGCACCCCGAAGCACTTGCGGCAGCTGCTGACCTCCCAGTGCTTGTTCAGCCCCTTGGCGCCGGGCGGGCAGGGCAGGAGGCTGAGGAAGGGGAAATGCATGGTGCTCTTCGCGTTGCCGTTGGTGATTTTGGCCGCCACCGGCCTCGCCTCCTTGCCGCACTCCTCCCCGCAGAGGTAGCAAGCCTCGGGCACCGGCGGGATGCCCGTCCCGTCCTCCTTCATCCCCCGGCGACCCTTGGCGGGCATGGCCCCGGCGCTGAGTGGCACCACGTAGAGCCGCTGCAGCACGGGCACGTTGGCCAGCTCGAAGCTTTGCCACTGCTGCATGAGGGAGGCGAAGCAGCAGGGACACACCAGGGTGCTGCCGGTGGGGGACAGCGGCTGGGCGCCCGGAGGGGGGCTGTGCAGCCACAGGAACGGGAAGAAAGGTCCCGGCGAGGTCTTCTCCTGCTTCTGCACGTGGACGCGGTGCTGGGCGCCGGGTGCCAAGGGGCTGCCGCAGATGTAGCAGGCGGTGCCCGGTGCCCAAGCGGGCCGCTCGCTGCCTTCCTCCTCCTCCTCCTCGCTGGTGATGTTGATCTCGCTGTCCGAGGAGCAGCAGGGGGGCCCCCGCTCGCTCCCCGCCGCCGGGGGGGCTCGCGCCGCGCCGCCCGCCCCCTCGGGCTCCGAGAGGGGCTCGGCCTCGGAGAGCTCAGAGAGCTCGGAGCCGGCTGCCGGCCCTTCCTCCTCCTCCTCTTCCTCCTCCTCCTCCTCCTCCTCCTCCTCCGGGTGGCCGGCGGCGCGGCGCGGCGGCGCGGAGGGGTCCCAGCCCGTGGTCCCCCGCCGCAGCCCGGCTCCCCCCGCCGCCGCCGCCGCCGCCGCCGCCGCCTCGCACTGATGGGGCCGCTTGAGCCAGTACATGCGCTTCTCCACCGGCGTGCGGCTGCGCTCGAAGGAGTCCCACTGCTCGCCCAGGAAGCAGCGGCAGACAGCGCAGACCAGGGCGCAGCCCTCCGCCGAGACGGCGCGGGCGCCGGGCGCCGGCTCCTGGTGCTGCAGGAAGGGGAAGAAGGGCCGGTGGTCGCGGGGGGGTCGCACTTGAAGCTTGAGCTCTTTGCCGCGGCTGATGCCGCCGCCGCAGATGAAGCAGCAGAGCGGGGGCGCCGGGGGTTGCGCTGCCCCGGGGCCGCCCCCCCCCGCCGCCGCCGCCGCCGCCGCCACCGCCGCCTCTCCGGCCGCCAGCGCGGCCATCAGCCGCTGCTTGCGGGAGAGCGGCGCCGCCGCTGCCCCCGGCCCCGCCGCCGCCCCCGGCCCCGCCGCGCTCATCGCCGCCCCCGGCTCATCCCGCGGCTCCGCCGGACACGCAGGCTCGGGGGGCGGGTTTGCGGAGCGCTCCCCCCCCCACCCCTCCGCCCGCCTCCTCCCGCCGGGGGAAGGCAGCGAGAAAGGAAAGAAAAAAAAAAAATTATAATAAAACAACGGCAACAACAGAAAAAAAAAAAAAGCTCCCAACGGCAACAAAATATCCACGAACAGCAACAAAAATAAACCCGGGATAAAAGTTCGGTGCGAAAGTTTGGGTCCCGCCGGCGGCGCGGAGGAAGGGCGGCTGCCGGCCGCCTCCCGGCCCCGGCGCCCCCGGCCCGGCTCCTCCCCGGCCCCCCCCGCCGCGACCTGCCCGCCCGGGGGGGCCCGGAGGGAGGAACGAGCCGCTGCCACCCCCCGCCCGCCCGCCGCCAGCCCGGCGCGGAGAGGAGAGCAGCGGAGGGACCCCACGGGGGAGGGACGCGGGGATTGACAAAGACACCCCCCGAGGGGGTTTATGACCGGCCCCACGCCGGGATCCCCTCCGCGCCCGTCACCCGTGTCCCACTCGCCACCCCCTAACCCGCACCACGGCGCTTTGTGCGGCTCCCGCTCCCCAAAGGCACCGTGTCCTGCTTCAGGCCGGCAGGACGGATCCTACCGAAAGCGCTGGCCTTTTCCTGCCCTTTCCAGCCATTAACTCGGTGTCCCGACCACCCCCGGTAATTTATTTCCCATTTTAAAACTACTGCCGCTGTTCCAGTTCAATACCAGATTCTATTTCCCGCTCGGTCCTAAAATGCTGCATCGCTTTGCCACTCACTGGTAAATAGCTGATGCGTTCCCAGCCGGAGCTGGCGGCGTTTCAGCGGCGCATGCAATAATCCCGGTATATCCTTACCTGCCTCGCAGCCTGCGATAAGATTTAATGCTTGGAAAGCACTTTGCTGTCCTTGGACAATAGGCACCGCGGAAGCGCAAACTGCACCCAGGGCCAGCTTCAATTAAACCTGACTGATTAAGCACCCGAGCGGCTCGTCAGCATGCCCACCGGCTCGGCACGGCTCACCCGATTAAATAAATATATTAGGAGCTGGAAAGGGGATTTTTTTTTTCAAACAGTCATTTTAGGAGGAAGCCTGCTCCCGGCAGTGCTGTGGAGTTTTTGAGTTCATGGCAAGTCACTGCAATATCCCAGGTGCTGTCCTTGCAAATCTCCCTGAGCTTGGAGGGCGCAGAAAGAAACCCAAAAGAGGCAAGGTCAGTGGTTGGATAGGACACAGGGACAGAGGGACAGCAGGATGAATGCCTGAGCCACGTGCCAGCACACCCAGATGATGCACAGAGGCCACATTGTCCCTTGCTCCTCATCACTCCTCGGGGCTCCCCGTCCGGGTCCCCCTTGGGCTGACCAACCCTTCGTGTCACCTCCCACCCAGATTGCGGGTGACAGCGTCCGGTGCTCCCAGCAACTGGCCCTGAGATCAAACAGATTGTGTGACATCAGCTGGAGCGCGGGCAGGGGCAGGAGGGCTCTTCAGGGACCCGGATCCAGTTTCCACGCAGATGGCTCCGGTAGTAAAGAAGCAGGGGGTGGGAGGCAACACACAAAGCAGGAATACGATACCTTGGGAGAACTGGCTCCACGGGGCTTTTTCAGGGGTTTCCAGAAGACAGCAGGGCCTCGTTATATTTTATTTATTTATAGGGCTGATGCGATGGCTGCTCCATGCACCGAGGGCAGTGGGAATGCCGCGTGTCGGGGTGGACATGACTCAGATGCTCTTTAAAGATGCACACGGTCTCACGGTGTCACCCCTTTTCCCGGATGGAAAGGGGCCACTGGGCCGGATGGGATCCCTGACCCCAGGCAGCAACACCGGATCTGGGAATGCCTCACCCCAGTTGCCCAGCTGGAGCTCCCCCGGGAGCTGTGGCCACCAGCTCAGCCCACCCTTCGAGCGCAGCCGACAGATGCTCTCCCGCCTGCTCCACAGATGGGCGAGAAAACAACACGCTGCTTTCAAAGTCCAGAGCTCAGCAGGGCCAAACCCCCCCCCTCCCCACCCTGCCCTAAAACACCGACCCTCCGTGCCCCTCTCTGGAGGCACCACAAGCCCCTGGCTACCCCGTTCCCCCCCTGCACCCCACTGGGACACAGCCTCGGAGCAGCTTCCCGGGCCTTGGCTGCGCCCGGACAGAGCAGCTCATTTATCATCCTGTGCCGCCCCGGCCCTGCGGTTGCTGTTTGCAACAGAGAAGCTGGGAGGGAGAGAAAATTTCTCAAGTCGGCCTCGGCAAGAACTGAAAACATATGCCCTGGCGGCAAACGCGTCCCCCGGGGCGCGCGGGGATCAAGGCGAGCCTAGCGCAGGATTTTCCACCGCGGCTCCCGCCGGCGCGCAGCCCTGCTGCCAGAGCTGGCGTTCCACAGCCGCCCCGGGGCTGGGGGTGGTGACAGCCAGGTCTGCTCCTCGAGCCCAGCACTGTGACACAGTGGGATGCAGGGCAGGATGGCTCGTCGCTCGCTCTGCGTGGCCAATATCTCACTGTACCTTGCTGGCTGCCGTGCAGAGCTGTCCCTTCGCTCAAAGACAAGCCCCAGGGACAGATGTCCCTTACAAGGTAGGGGACAGGCCCTGTTTTGCATCAAGACTCAGCACCAGTTGTGCAAGGTGTTGTACAAACAGCTCACCTCGTGGGGCAGGGGGGTCTCCCCCGGCTTGTATAGGGCAGGGATTCAGGATGGATGCATGAGCAGCCCACGGGGTGCTGGGTCCATCCCTATCCCCATCCTTGACCCCATTCCCATTCCTGTCCCCATCCTCATTTTCATACCCGTTCCTGCCTCCATTCCTCCATCCAACCTTATCTTTATTCTCATTGCAATCCCCGTTCCTGTTTGCATTCCTGTGCCTGCCCCTACTGCCATCCTTATCCTAATACTCCTTTCTTTTTCTACTTCTGTCCCATCTCATCCTCACCCTCGTTACCATCCTCATCTACATCCTCATCCCCATTTCTATCCCTATCTCTCTCCCCACCCTCATCCCATCCTTATCCCCATCTCCATCTCTGTCCCTATCCCTATCCCAGGCCCTTTTGCCCTTGGGGCCCTGCAGGACAGGGCCCAGCAGCACCCATTCCCTGGCACCCCTAGGAGCAGGCACGTGCTGCAGATCCCACATCCCTGGGACCGGGAGGTTAATATGGAAATTACCAACTGCTTATTCCTTCCAGCTGTTGCTGTGAGTCATCAAGTGCCTTAAAGAGCATTTCAAACAACACAGTGCCTTCGAGACAGCATGACTGCTGCCCCAGCCACCCCCTCTGGATAATCCTCGGCAGGGTCTGGTGTTTGAAAAGGGAATGTTTCTCCAAGGAGGCAATTCCCAGCCGTGCATGGCCGTGGCTGGGGAGGCAGAACAGCCGCTGCCTCCACGGCGCCTGTCCAGGCTCCCACCTCCGCCCGTGGACTCCTGGAATCCTGCCCGAGAGCAAAACCAGGCAGGGAAGGGCACTGGGAATGGCAGCCCAGCCCTGTCATCATCCCTGCTCAAAATCCAGCAGGGACATCTAAATGCCACCACGTGCCAGCATGGGTGAGGATCCCTGCTGTGCCACCTGGGGAAACTGAGGCACGGGGCAGCCAGTCTGAGCTCCACAGTGTCACCTGCCTGGGGGGAAGGTGGCAGAGTGGCTGTCATGGGACGCTGGGTCACTGCTCTGAGGTTCAGCGACCTTAAACCCTGCACTCAACAGCTGTATTTGTCTCGGCAAGCTTTTATTTCCTTTTTTTTTTTAAGAGAAAAGGCTGATCTCTGCACTCAGTTGGTGCTGATTTTTCAGATGAGAGAGATAGGGCTGGTTCATGGAAATAGTCGTGATATATCCCTTATCTGCTGCTTTAAGTTCAACCTTTCTTTGAACTTCTGGACTGACTTCATTGATTTTTCACTGTTCCTTTTGCTGGAAAAGCCCAGGCAGTTTTTCTCCTGCTTGCCAACTGCTTTCCCCCAGTCCTTCGTGTGGCCATGCAGGTGAGTCAAGAATGCTCCTAGCCAAGATCCCAGCTGGTGCCAGCAGGAACATCTGCCTCTGCACAGAGGGGAGCCTGGAATAAAAAAATAATGACCCAAGGAAAGCTGTGCACAGGTGACAGGGATCTGTGACACAAGTGGAGGGGAAGAGGACACGGCCATCCCATGCTGCACACTGAGAGAGGATGCAGGGAAGGAGGGGAGGATGCTGCTGGGATGGTCCCCACCAGGCAGGAAGGAGGAAAGTGACTCTGGGGAGAGGAGGGGACCACTGGCTGCCACCACAGCCCTGTGGCGACACTCTGAGCCTCTCTGCTCTGCCAGGCACTTCCAGACAGGCTGCAGCAAAGGAACTGCTGCTGCTGTGACAGCCGGAGGACAAAGCCATGTGGGGACACATTTGGTGCCTGGCACGGTGGTTACAGTGGCTGAGTCCAACCAGGATTCCCAGGAGCACCCTGTGAGTCCACGAACATAAATGGATGATCCAGCACCCTCAAATCCCTCCGTGGGTACCCACAGCGCTGATACCCACTCATGCTGCTCCTCCTGCTCACCCCCACTGGGACCAGGTCCCAATTCCCCCCATGTCCTGTGAGGCAGGAGGGAGCCACGTCCTCTGCAAGGCACAAGGGCCCAGTTTTCTCCCAGGTTGTGGGGTTTTTTAATAAGTTTTTATTTTTGGGGTTTTTTTTTTTTTTCTTTTTTTAAGAGATTTTTTTTCTTTTCCTTTCCAGGGCGAGCAGCTCCGCAGATGCCAAGTGCTGATGCCAAAGGGCCGTGTCAACAAAGAAGAATGAGTGTAGCTGTTAGAGGCTGCTATTAAAAAAGGGTGGAGAGGAGAGGGAGAGGGGGGTGAAAAAGCGAAGAAAAGGTTTGTCACTGCAAATAATAACAGTTTGCAGA